TAATTAAACACAGAACAGAATTTGGACATTTTTCTGAATGAACGGTTTTAAGAAGGGGAGTTAATATTCTTATTTATAGTTTAAAAGAGAATTCTGGTTATTCTATAATAAGCTCCTAAAAGAATGGTAAGTGTGGGGGCAAGAATAATAGAAGCAAAATTCTTACTATTATGAAAATATCATTGTTTATAATTCTCTAATGGAACCTAATGGTTAGTCAAGTAATGGTAGATTATTGACTTTTTTTGTTTGTTTTACTATAGGGCATGTACACTCACCAGAGAGAGACACAGAGAGAGAGGGAAAATGATAAATCATACCCCAAGAAGGATGGGCACGCCACAATCCTTTCTCCACTCCGTTCTCAGGATTTTGGGCATACACACACATGCCCTGTGTGATTTTCAAGTCAGTGGGACTGGGACTTGAACAGCATAGCTGGTCATATGGGATCCAGTGTCTTAACCTCCATGCCACCTGATGGCCCAACTTTTTGCTTTAATAGTCCAAAGACAGTGCAAATATGTTGTTTAAAAGCTGTATCTGTTTAGGGACCAGCAGGTGGCATGGTGATTAAGGTGCTGGACTCCCACATGCCACCCATGGTTTGAATCTTGGACCCAGTGGCTGGGAAATCATTCTGGGCACATGTGTGCATGTGCCCAAAATCCCAAGAAGAGAAGGGAGGAGAAGGTATTGAGGTATGGCCATTCCTGCTGTGGGGGTGATTTCTTACTTTCCCTCTCTCTGTATCTGTCTGTCTCTTCTTCAGTGAACATATGCACCCTATGACAAAAACTTAAACAAATTAAAAATAAAAAACATATATATCTACTTAAGGGTGTGAGGGAGGGGATCATGAAAAAAAATTTAACACAAAAAAATGAAGTTATTTGTTGATAATAAATATAGTAATATCTTTGACTTGACTAATAAGCATGTATTTATGTTGGGAGAAACTATGTTGTACACTAAAGATGTACAGTGATTAAAGGTAAATTTTAGAAGTGTAAAAAAGTGATACTGAAAACTCTGGAAGAATACACAGACTGTAATAGTTAAAATATGTTTTAAAAATAATTTTTAAAAAGTGTATCTATTTAGGGGCCAGCAGGTGGTTTAGTGGTTAAGGAACTGGACTTCCACATGACAGACCACAGTTCAAATGCCAGACCCAGTGCCTTGAGAATTAGGCGGGGCATGCGTGTACATATGTGCCCAAAATTATAAGAAGAGAATGGAGAAAAAGGGATTGCATTATGGCCACCTCCTTTGGGAAAGTGATTTCTCACTTTCCCTCTCTCTGGCAAATGTACGTGCCCTAAGGCAAAAACCTTAAAAAAATAAAAAGTTATATCTATTTCAAAAGTGAGTTTAGTGCATAATTATATATATAAATTATTAGTAAAAGTGATTGAAATTAACTGATTCTCTGCCTTTCAATTGCCATGGTTACAGTATTAGTTATGAGAACATTTTCTGGGCCACAGCATCTTTAAAATGGAAGACAACTAGGTGATCTTTAGGGTTTCATCAATTCTTGGTTTCTGTGATTTTGAAAACAAGCTAGGTGAGCAACAACATTGGCTATAATATGTATAATAATTTCTATAACATAGATGGGTAGAAAATTTTAAACATTTAAACATAGATTCTTTATAAAAGTTCATTTGAATACACAATCTATCCTATATTACTTACAAGCCTATTTAAGGTATATGTATATTATGGAAAATAGACAATCATAATTTTTCATGGGAGAATAATGTGAAGCATGCACTTTGAAAGTTAATGACTTTAGGAACCAGCAGTTAGCGTAATGGCTATGTTGCTGGACTCCCACGTAGTCACCCGCGGTTCGCGTCAGGGACCCAGTGGCTTAAAACTCACGCTGGGTGCGTGTGCGCGTGTGCCCAAGATCCTGAGAGGAGAATGGAGGAGAAGGGATTGTGGCGTGACCATCCCCCCTGGGGGGTGATTTCTCACTTTCTGTCTCTTTGTCTCTCTCTGTCTGTCTAGTGAGCATGTGCCCCCTATAGCAAAAACCTCTCCAAAAAAGAATAATAATAAAAAAAAAAAAACTTAAAAAAAAAAAGAAAGTTAATGACTTTAAATGGCTAGAAAACTAATTTTTAAGACAGGCTGAATTGTTATTTTGAGTTCATGGTTTTTAAAATATATTTCTCTAGATTTATTCTTGTAATATTTTATAATTTATAATGTTCAGTTTTCCATCAAGAGAATAAGTAGCATGTGGATATCTTGGGAAACAGTATCCACCTGCCTATTTTTCTACAATAATATAAATAAGCACAATTCAGTACATTAGGAGGTGACAAAGAAGTGAAGTGATTTATTCTGTTATAATTCCTTTTCAAGAAATTTTTTTCAAAGTTTGTTGAGGGAGAGATAAGGAGATGGGTTCCTTCAACAGAGTCATCACACAGCAATCCACCGCCAGTCTCAGATGGCCCAGATGGACAAGCCCCAGGAGGTATTGGGATGTGATATGATTTCTGTGTGGGTCAAGTTGCATTAGCAGTTCTTCATTCACAACATGGCTTTCTGTGTAATAATTCTGAGTGTTTATAGAAGTTTCTCAACCTCAGTACCATTTGGGGACAGATAATTCTCTCTTTTTAAATTTAAATGATTATTTTTTTTCTTTTTTTAATTTGACAAGAGAAAGAGAGAGAGAAAGAAAGTGAGAGATCAAGCCACCAGATCCGAGTCTTGAACCATGGTTGCCCATGTGGGAGTCCAGAACCCTAGCCACCATGCCATCTGCTGGCCCAGATAATGCTCTTATAGAGGGCTGTCCTACTTGTTGTACCAACATTACCGAACTAGCTAAAAGCCAAGTTGTTAGAAAGAAAAATGTCTCCAGATTTGCCTAAGGTTTTTAGGAGAACAAAATCCACCCCAGGGAAAGCCATTGTTTTGCAGTAGATGTCTATTCATTTACAAAGGAAGCTTTCTTTCTTTTTAAGACTTTGGAAATGAAAATATTTAAGTTGATTTTTTTTTTTTAAGAAGTTTTCGCCATAGGGTATGTGCGCTCCATACCACAACACCTTCTCCATTCTCCTCCTGAGATCTTGAGCTTGCATACACGTGCCTGGCATGATTTTCAAGCCACCAAGTTGGGGACTTGAACTGCGGTTGGCCATGTGAGAGTCCAGTGACATAACCGCTACGCCATCTGTTGGCTCCTCTAAGTTGATTTTTTTCCCTTTTTCTTTCTTTCTTTTCCTCTTCTCCTTCTTTTGAGAGGTTTTTGCTATAGGACATGTGCAACTGCCAGAAAGAGAGACAGACAGAAAGTGAAAAATCATCCCCCCTGGGGGGGCGGGGTATGGCCATGCTGCAATCCCTTCTCCACCATTCTCCTCTCGAGATCTTGGGCACACATGCCTGAAGTGAGTTCCAACCACCAGGGCTGGGACTTGAACCACAGTTGACTACATGGGAGTCCAGCGATGTAGCCATCACATCATCTGCTGGTCCCTCTAAGTTGATTTTCAATGAAGCTTGATCTTATATTCTAGATGCAGAAGAAATTTATTATTTTTTTCTTACTCTAACGCCAGAGTGATGGTTTCTTCTCACATAATCTAAGAGACATTTTCTACTCACAAGCAATGAGCAGGTATTAGCTTTAGCAAATGTGTTTGTCACTTTTACCATGAGACTTGCCAATCTAGATCTCTGGAGTCATGGAAATTTGGTTATCATTCAGGAGGAAAATGTTCAAAGTTGCTTTCATTCACACCTCACCCCAATGTTTGGGCATGACTTCACTTGTGTCCTACCTTGGTGAGCAAATCTACTATGTCACTGACATTTAGTTAGATAATCTCAGTTCTGAAATAGTTAGAAAAGCAAAGGAAAAAGTGAAATTCATATGTTTCTAAAAGCAATGCAAAATGGCCCCATCAGAAATGTATCTGCACTTCCACTCCCTACCAAAACCTAAAGAACCACAGCGGTACTTTTGCATGCTCTCATGATCTAAAACAGGCAGCAGAGAACAGCTGCTCAGGAAACAGAAAGCTGACCTGGAGACACGGCAGTGGGTTCTGCAGACCACTTTTATATTCTATGTTCAAGTGAGAGCAAAAGTTTACACAAACCCCAAGGAACCACCCCACTTCTAGCAATGGAAACATCTCTAGCACAGTAGTAGGGATGGACAAGAGGAAGGAACTCCCATGGGTCCTGCCACTCCATAGAACTCAAATGCCTAGTGAAAGAAGAAAGGGGTTTCCATGGCAGCAGCCACCAGAAAACGTCCTTATTGCTTCATGTTCTTCGTGAAGAAAATGGGGACAGTGTTTGTTAAATCACAGCACAAAATGAAGCGCTTCTAAAATGTTTAATTTGGTGGTTTGGAAAGAAAGCACCCTAATACTACTCACCTTCCTTAACCTATGTACATTTTGTCTAAGAAAGAAAAAAATCTGTGTGCGCAAATTCCTAAGATTTAAACGGAGAGGACTGTCTACAGGAAGAAAAGACTTAAGATATTTTGTTTGTTTTGAAGAGGTTTTTTTGCTATAGGGCACATGCGCTGGCCAGAGAGACAGAGACAGAAAGCGAGAAATCACCCCCCGGGGGGATGGCCACGTGGCAATCCCTTCTCCATTCTCCTCTCGGGATCTTGGGCACGCACGCACACGCGCCAGGTCTGAGTTTAAGCCACTGTGTCCCGGACTCCGACCGCGTTGGCCTACATGAGGGTCCAGCGACATAGCCATTACGCCAATTGCTGGTCCCAAGATTTAAGATTTTTAAACCAGTCCCCTGTAGGGGTGGAGAAGGGAGTGGGGGTGGGGCTGTTCCACCTGAGGCCTAGTGGTGGGAGACCTCCCCAGGAAGGGAACTTGCGGTGGGCAGGGTGCCAACGACGCCGTCTCGCAAGGGCTTTAAAGGCGCCTTGAGAGGACACCTTGGGAACCTCCCTGGAAGGGCCCCCTCAGAGCCGCCTGCTGCTCCCCAGGTGCCAGGCTCGGAGGCAGGGCCACTTTAAGGGCGGCCTGGGCGTGCGCGCCCACAGCTGCAGCCTGGAGCCATTAGCGCGCAGCCGAGGCAGGGACGCGGCAGGCTGCACCTCCTCTACTCTGAGCTGCCTCAGGACCCCGCACGTGTGCACCCGGCCATGGCGGCCTCAATTATCACCCAGGAGCAAGACCTTATCTCGGGCCAGGTAGGAGGCGGTGGAGGACGAAGGGCAGGCAGCTGCGTTTATCAACGCGCGGGCGGCCGTGGGCGGGTGGCCCGCTGGGCCCTCAAAGCCGGGTCCAGGTATCTCTCCTGCAGGGGACGGTGAGGAGGGTGGCCTCCAGAATGGCCACTCCGGATGAGAGGCTGCCCTTGTTGGGTTCACAGAGCCGGGGAAGTGTGGACTAGCTTCCGAGGCCGTCCTCGGACACCCGGCCCTTTGGTCCTGCGGTTGGGGTCGTCGGGCTGTTAGCCTAGGAAAGGAGGCTGAGAGGGAAAGTGGGCTCCTCCACTTTGCAAAGAAAGCCTCTCTCCAACTCCTGACGCTTGCCAAGTTTAGAATGATTTTCCGGCAGAAAGTCCCTTTGGTAGATAACCCCTGGGGCAAAATTTAGAAGGCACTTGGGGCTGGTGGCTAGACAGCATGCGAGTATTCTCAGTTTAGGAAAGCTTATTTAATACAGGCATGCTTGTTCTCCGCATTCCTATCTGCACACCCTGCCACGTCGTCTCAGGGTGTCTTCAGGCCTCCACCCAGAATAGGCAGTGACATGGGGAACCCGCCGCCCATGGAAGGTACCTGCGCCAGGCGCATCAATGCCCTCCCTGCAAGTCAAAAGCCCTCCGGCCTCCTTCAGAAACACCTGTTTATCATCCCCTCAGGAAAGCACAAAATCAACCTTTGTGACATATCTTGGATAAAAATGAAAGGTGACTTATGACCCCATTAGGAAGAAAACAGACAAAACCTCGCTCACCCCAGAAAGCAAAGACGGTTGGTGTTAGCTTTCTTGGAATGTTTTACAGGCTTCCTGGGTGAATGTGAGCGAACCCTCTGTGTTGAGTGAAGTTTGGTCACTCCCATAGAGGCCCTGTATGTTTAATCTCATTTCTTAAGAACAAGCTTTCAGAAGTGAATTATTAGCACTTTGAAGTGGATTCGTTTAACAGGTTTTCATATTTTTTTCAAGATGGGGGACCCTATGTAAGCACAATGGAAAAAATAGTATTTTATGGTACACGATTAGGCAAAGCTGCACAAAATGGAATTTTGAATAAACTATCTAATTATCAAACAATCCGGAAATCATTGTGGTTTCCCACCCTGCATGGGAAGCCCCTAATAAACCTTTTGTGTGCCTTTGGGAGGGAAGAAGCTTGCTCAGTTTCTCCAGATAGAGCTGTTTAAATCCCCGACTCCTGGGGAAACTGGAGGCCCAAAATTGCCCCGTGAGAGCATCGGGCTGTGCAGCTGCTGCTGATTGTCAGCACTGCTCCCGGTGATAAGGGTGACATAAATAACAACTCACTAAAATGTAGGAGTGATTTGCTTTAAGCACTTCAGCACCTGCTGTTACTAATTAAGGGTTTAGCCTGCCGCAGATTGCGAATGGAAATCCAGTGTTTTCAAAACCATAGCGACTGAAATGCTCTGCAGTGTTGCTGTGACCACAGAAATCAAATGGGCTGCATAAAGAATGATATTGATGATGTCACTTTATTAAAAACTGCCCACACTTAAAGGTTATACGCCGAGGTGTTAGTAAGCCTTATCCCCAAGTAATGGAATTACAGATGCTTTTTACATTCACTTTAGACTTTGTAAACATTTTTCTGGCATTTCCCAATGAATATATATATTGATTTTGTTTAAAAACGCAGCAAGCGCTACAAAAAGATGTCTACCGTATGAAGGCTAGTATTAGTATTGCTCCAGAGTGTGTGGTGCTGCTCACAGGTGAAAATTTTAAATGTAATAAAAGGCAGTTTCATCAAGCTGAATGTACTAGAAACTTTTATTCTTTTATTAGGTCCTTCTTATCACCTGTGTTCATATGACACTACCAGCAAGATATTTTTAACTGAATAAATATTCAGATTTACGTTGATTGTAAGCTACTCCGTTAATTTGAGTTATCTTGGGATGGTGGACTTGAGCAGTGTTCTAATTTGTTGGATTAACATTCTAAGTGTGCTGTGGCCCTGAATTTATAGGGCAGGGAAGGAGGTCTTTGGTAAGAGCAAATCAGATCAGATCTTTCTAGAGGTGCTTTGTTTCATACCTCCTCTGTGCCATGGTACAAGGCACTTGGCAAAAACTTTAGATTCCTACACAGGAGGGTGGGGGTAGTGGTGCTTGTTCTTCCTCATTTCTTGGGTCATTGGAAGAGTCATGACATATTTTTCTATGACTTTTCCAACAATTCAATATTTCTGAATCTTTTCCCCACCTTCTCTCAGATTGCTTTCCACTTCCCAGTACCCATGTTCTGATCTTTATTGCTCTTTCTTGACTTTTTTTCCATAAGACATTGGAGACATTGAAACTGAACCTGTAAGGGGAATATGCAATGCCAGGTAAAATACCTTAGAAAGGTTTCAGGTTGGGCCTCTGATCTTTGTTGTGCAAAATTACCTTTTGTTCTTCAGCAAGGCCTGTTTCCCAAGCTCTGTGATTCAAGGCAGACAGTAATTCCCAGTAAAGCTGTTTTTCCAGTTAAATCTGCTGGACAGGGACATTTTCCACCTCTCCACTTCCCCTCCCCAGTTAGGTTGATTTGGCATTTCTGTGTTCAGGTTTGGTGTTATGTGAGAAAACATGGCGGTAATTACCACTTACAGGGCATTATGAAAAAAATGGCGCCTTATAATAGCCGTGCAATGTCAGTGTAACTATCCCTAGGTGAGGATCACGTAAGTATCTTACTTAAAGCTACTAGTAAGTGGCCCAGCGACAGACCCTGGTCTATCTTCCTTTAAAACCTTTGCCCTTGCCCTTTTTCCACTGCATCAAGCTGTTGACAACAATCAGTAACAGCTTGGGTAGCACTACTCTGCCTGTGTCCTGGGGGCTGAAAGCCATGCTTTCTTAGCAACAGAGAGAAAGGCTACTAGAGTGCTCCAGGAGGGCAGGGACCTTGTCTGTCTGCTCCCATTACATTCCTAGCACCTAGAATAGCATTTGCCCTGTAACAGGGGCTCAGTGAACATCCACAGAGAGAATAAAACTCAAGCATATTTAAGCAGACACATGAAGTGGCAAGATGTTTTAAAGAAAAGAAATAAACCTTTGTAATGGCAAATTTTATAGGTTATTCATAATCAGGACACCTTGTTTTTATGTGTTAATTTAGTGTAATTATTAATAGCACCCTTTTCTCAAAAGTGAAAACATTATATGGTCACTTTGTCTGCCCCAGACAGGGTATTTTTGGATATTCATAGGTTGCTTCAATTAACCAGGTTAATTAAAAATCTACAATCACTCCTATTATAACCACTTGTTAATGATTGTTTCAGTGGTTGGCTCTGGGTTCAGAAGCAAGTATATCCTTTTAAAATGTGATAATAGCTTCAGATAAATACCAGGGAACTATAAGGGGATGGATATTCCAGAGTAAAAATCCAGGGAATTGTAGCAACCCAATGCAATGCATGGTTCTTACTGGGATCCACAGGAAAACTTGAAATTTAGAAGAGATGAGCTCAAACTCTCACTAAAATAAAAGAGGAAAAACTGCAGCTTAAAATGAAGAGAAGAAATGGAGAGGAAAAACAAAGTTGAGCGCTAGTCCAGGGTCAGTGTTAACAGAAACAAAGATGAAAGTGGCCCGAAGGTTGTGCCCCTGGTATGAATGAACTGGATGCAGGACACCTGGCCTTTGGACTCTTCCCAGCTCACTGCCATTGCAGCAGGAACAACGATTTTCAATTACAGAATAAAACTCAGGGACTTTCTTCCTCAGAAAATGAACTACATATGAGACGGGCTCCTGGTGTGAGGAGACAGCTCTGTCCAGGAGGAAATAAACCCAAGTGCTTGGTTTTTACAGAAGAGCCCACCTTAATTCAGCAGTTAGCTGATTCTAGCCTTTCTGTTGTCCAGCCGTGCCTCCCACTCATTGTGCTTACTCACATCAGACCCATAGTCGACACTGACTTGTGAGAACACACGATATTTTCACATCCCAGATTTCCTTTGGTGCTACCAGACAGTCTTCAAGGGAATTTCCAAAGCTTATACTGGTGTGCAATAAAATAAATCCAAGAAAGAAGCAAATGTGAGATACAAGAAATAGGAATCAGAGAAACAAAAACCCATTCATTATGTTAGTGAAAAATGTGAAAGTTTAATACTGGTCGTCACAAAAATTCAGACACCTGCAGCATGAGAAGTCCATGAGTGGAGGGAGACCTGTTAAGGGTGCTGCCTTGTTTGGACAGGCTGTAGTTTTAAATTAACTCTATCTTAATTGAAAATGGCTACAAATACTTAAAATTAAGCACTCCCCAGCTTCCAGTGGCCAGACTGGAATAATGTGAGTAACAAAATCAATAACAATAGTATTGTGTGGTAATTTAATTTTGGTTATATTCATGATTGACTGAATAAGTGAGGGAAAAGGGGCAAATTTTCCTTACATAGAATTCCAAGTACTAAGTGCAGGAAGGAGGGAGGAAATAGAAAATCACTGTTGCAATGTTATAGTAATAATTGCTGTAGGCAAGATAACACTGATAGGTGGGGAAATCTTTCAGGAGAAATGGATTATTTACATAGCCTCTAAGTTTCTCCTCTGACATATTCATTAGATCTGATGGTTCTTCCACATGCGTCAATAATACAATTGTTTGATATTCCTTCCTCCAAGAGGTAGTGCTTGATTCTCCTTCCATTGAGTGTTACTGAATTGAGTGACTCCTGAAAACTGTGTGGAAAGAAAAAATAGTGACTGTAGTGGAGAATCCTTACACTACCTTTACAGAGTGGCCAAAGTGAACATCCCTGGTGGATTGGCCCATTGGTACATAATTTCATGAGAAGCACTTTATGTCTGTGGTGTTCTTAAAACTCATATTTACCAGCCTGATTATAAAAAAGTGCAGGACAAATCTTCAGAGTAGCTGGATAGCACTCCTCAAAAGTCAGGAAAAAACTGAGAAACCATGGCAGACTACAGAATACTAGAAAACATGAAAAATATA